ATTGAATGGAGGAGTGATAAGAGACAAGATTGGAGGAAAAGACAGAGGGAAGAACATGGAGAACTTTGCATGCTGTGCTAAGGCTTTGGACTTTTTCTGAGTGCAGCAAAAAGCCATTGTAGAGGTGCCTATAACATGATCCCAGTTGTGTCTTAGATAACTTTTAAGAATGGATTAGAGGATTGTGTAAGGCTTAGAGCCTTGGGTAGAAAAATGGTATAAATTCATGACACCATTTTATTCTCAATCTCAGAATCCAAGGTATGGCTTGAGCCACTGGGGACAGACACACAGACAACCTAATCTTTTTCACACCTTTCAGAATTGAGGGTCTAGAACCAAACCTGAATTTCTTAAGGCCACTCACTCACTCATTTCTTCATTCAACAGACATTAATTAGGCATTTGTTTTCCAAGCACTGCATTCAGACCTAGAGCAAACTCTTCCCAGGACAAACCCAGATCCTCTAAACTAGGCCAGACTAGACAGGCTCTTCCCACTGAGCAGTAGAGACCTGAAGCTGCCCTTATGCACATCTCCCTGCGCTTGCCTTTGTGCATCCATCTTGCTACCAGAATCCCACCAGGAACACCAGTCACACTGGTCTAGACAGCATCCCTGCCTTCTAGATAATAGTGACGAAGCACTGAGCAACCCGCATGCCAAAGCCCTGCAGAGATTTCTGCAGAGGGACTGCAAACTATTGTGGGAGAAGTGCTAAGAAGGAATCAAAACTGTATTGGCTAAAGGATGTCAGTATCTTTTCCCTAGACAAATTTGAGCATAATCCTATGTGGTTTGTAGAAATAACATTTGAAATAAAACCCACACTGTGTCAACGAAGGAAACTGTACTCGTCCCAGGCTCACCAACCCAGAAAAGGTGAAAATTCTGCCTTCCTGCTTGCATGAATTGTCTGGATTCTTCAGTGTTAGAATATGAGCCAACATATCCAAAATAGAGTCTCTATTTTTTCTTGCCATGCTTGTCTTTCCAAATTCTGCATCGTTGCTGTCTTCATTAGTCCCAATAACAAAAATTTACTTTAGCACGTGTTGGGTGCAAAGAACCTTACAAGACACAGAAGATACAAAAATGTGTAAAAGAGCATTATTTTCCTTAAGAATGTCAGTCTAATTGAAGCAGATAAAAGGTACATAAGGAAAAAGACATAACACAATAAGATAGAATATGCTATATGTTAAGTGCATAGTACAGGCAATGGTTGCACAGGAAAGGAGATTTATATGAAATTGAAAGCACGGTGAGGGATTAAATTATCAGAGAGAGGGACAACCCTGCAGGTGCTCACAGAGAAATAATGCAAACACGAGGACTGAAAATTAACAGTACCTAACATTTACACAGCATTATCAGGCACTTTTCTAGGCACTTTATACATCTAAATTTGTTTTATTCCTTACAATATTTTAATGAAAAAAGTGCTAATTTAATTTATCCCGTATATTAAAAATGAGGCAAATACAGAACAAAGAGATTTAGTGATTTGTGCAAGGTCACTGCTACGAAGCAACAGAGCCAGGATGTGATCTCAGACAGTTTGCCACCAGTGTGGTGTTAACCACTGTTCTATACAACACGCCACAGATGTGACTAGCAGCCCCAGGCTTCATCCTGGGGCAGTGGGACAGTCGAAGCGGGCAAGGATGTGCATGTGGCCGATGATGAAATCTGAAGGGAATGGGGACATACACAGAAATGCCCCCAAAATCCTGCTATTCTCAATGTGGGTGACAGCCTGAGAGACATCCACTTTTGGATTTTAAAAGGCAGCTTATTTCATATTTATGAACCTAAGTAATTTCGAAAGTCAAAACTCAAGTAGTGCAATCTCGCAGGCTGCAGTAGTATTAGGGTTGAATGGGAAACCAGGGGAAGTGGTTTATTGCATAACTACAAGAATGAGTACTAACATGGCCTTCAATTGTGAAAATGTAGAAATTAGAATTTCTCTAGAATTTGTATTTACAGAGTCAACATTTGTGTAAACATCAATTTTAATTAAAAAAAATTCATGAATGTTCTGTTTGGCCTCTCAATTTATCCTTCTCCCTAGCAGTATTTTGGGCTCCTTCCTCTTTTCTGCCACAAGCCAGAGATAGCAGGCTATGACAGTGATCCTCCTGAACAGGGTCATTCCAAGGCTCGTCAGGGTCCCCTTTGGGTGTGAAATGGAGTCCACTCCACTTCTCCCCACTGTGTAACAGACCCTGCTTCTAGTTTAGGGGGAGGAGAGAAGGCAGGAGGGATGGCAGAAGGGTGAAGTTGTTTGCATTTCAGAAAGGAGAGCTTTGTATAATCAAAGAGCAAGTCTCAGTGAAATTGTCACTATCTATTCTGGAACAAATTCACAGAACTCTTTTCCACCCCCAACCGTGTTAGGAAAACAATGATCTCATTTGAAGGGGCAGAGTGATTAGATGAGGACTGCATTCGACGGGCTTCTTGAAAAGAAAAAAAATTAGTTAAAATCTGAGTTCCTTAAATCCCTAAAAAAAAAGAGAAAAGTGTCTGAGGAAAAAGCCAATAACTGTCCTCTACATTCTTCCTCCAGTTCTAATTCAAACGACATCAAATAAAATCTACATGTATGCTTTGAGATTTTGTTATTTCCCTATGTTTTTGTTCCTCTTTCCCACCCTGAGGTTTTCATATTTTGAAAACTTTTTAGTCAGATGATATTCATTTTAGCCCATTCGACAGGTTATATGTTTCTGAATCCACGTCAGTGAGCTTGGGCCTCTCAGACTTAAACCACACTTGTTGTTTGGACAGGCCCCCCTACGTAGCCCCACAGTGCCATGGAGCCCAGAAGAGGCACGGCCAAGGGCAGGGTGGATGCGGAGTTCTAAACCATTTTCCAGACTGCCAAGATGAAACCCCTCTCTGCAGCCTCCCCTCCCCGGGACCAAAGGGCGGATGTGGAGAGTGCCCCACGCGTCCTTTCATTGTCTCTGAACAGGTGATATTTAAGGTAGTTACACTCCACTTATAATTGTTCAGAGCCCTCTGAAAATAAAGAAAAAAACCCATAAAATTATTCACAGTTCTCTGGGGGAAAAAACAATACCAGGTACTTAGTTGCTTAAAATGGATCTTTGTTGAAGAATGAATGAAAGCAATAGCTCTGGCATGCAAAGTAGAATAGGAGGAGGATGATTCTTAGGAGAAGAGAAGGGTCAAAGGAGGGCCTGGAGATCCAAGGGGAAGGAACAGGATGAAGAGGGAGCGGACCTGTTGGAGAGCCGGGCGTGTGGCATGATCTGCTGCTTGGTAAGTGTCAGCTTGGCCTAGAAACGATTCCAAGGAATTAGGATCTACTGCTTCCTGGGTGGCCACAGGGCCAGACAAGATAGTTCAGCCTGTACTAGGGGAGGAAGTAAATGGAAGTAAGTGGCAAAAAGGTTTTCTGACAGGGATGGTGACAAGCTGATCTTGGAGGCTCAGACAGAAAATACCTAGAGCAATAAAATGGGTTAATAAGGCAAATCGTGAACCATACAGTGCTGGTCCATGTCCAGTTTATACTTAAGGTATGCTCATAATTTTCTAGAAAAAAAATTATCCCACATTTTAATTCTCTTAGTTATTTTTTAGTTCTTCTTCAATGCTCCTGGTTAAATTTTTATTTGAATTTCTTCTTTAGCTGCCTTGAAATTGAGCCTTCATTTTGAGATAATTTTGTCATTTTCTTCCATTTCTTTCCTGAATTCAATCAACACTCCTCATTTCTTCTTGGCTGGCTTTTTTTAAAAAATTTTTTGGTTTACTTCTGTTTTTTATTTTTATTTTTTTAAAATTTCTTTATTTTTTTTTATCAGAACACAGTTGATTATACATATCTGTGTGATCCAGCATTGAATACCAATACCTGTGTGCAATATGTGATGTTCACATCAGAATAATTAGTATATTCATCATGCATCCCAAATAATAGTAAGCAGGGTTTGAAAGAGGTGGACAAATCTTGAGGTTACATGTGAAAGCAGGGCCAGGCAGAGAAAGCAACACTTGCAAAGCCACTGAGGCAGGAGCAAATCTGTCTTTTTTGAAGAAAATTAAGGAAGCCAGCATGGAGGGACCAGGGGAGCAATGGGATTGTTCTTACTATGTGTCAGGCAGTGTTTTAAGAGTTTTTTAAAGATTATCTCATTTTGTCCTCATGACAACCCTATGAGCAATATATGATTATTAGCCTCATCTGCAGTTGAGAAAGTGAGGCACAGACTAGGTAAGTAATCTACCCAAAGACACACAGAAAAATAAAGCCAGAGAATAATCTGTCTCCAGCTTCTATGCTAGCAGGAGGAGGAGGAGGAGGAGGCGAAGGAAGAGAAGAAATGGGAGAGGAAGTGGAAAGGGGAGGAGGAAGGTGGGAAGGGGGGGAAGAGGGGTAACAGGGTACTCCACCGTGCAGGGTCTTACAAGCATTTCTGGAACTCGGGCTTTTACTCTGGGTGGGATGGAACATCATGGGAAGACTTTGATCAGTGGAGTGGCATAATTTGATTTACAGTGTAAAAGGATCCCTTTGGCTGCTGGGTTGAAAACATAAGGAAGGCAACATGGAAGCAGGGAGGCCAGCTAAGAAAATGACAAAGTGATACAGGTGATGGTGTCAGATCAGCTGATATTCATGAATTCTGATTTTTTTTTTATGTAAAAACACACTGTTGTGTGTTTTTATTTCACATGTTGGCAACTAATTCAGGCTTTTGTAAAACAATGTGATTGCTCATCAAAAGATATGTTTACAGACCCCACCCCTACCTGGTTGTGCACTTGTGTCCTACAAGGGCCTACCTGACTCTGTGTGTAATACTTCACTGCTTGCACAGAGTATTTCAGCCTAGATGCTGCATCTTTCCCTCATATGTGCAGGTTGATTTTGCTTCTGCTCCAGGCCAGCCACGATGCTCAAGACCCTTCACCAACTTTCACAAGAAATTCAAGTACACACACAGACACACACACACACCCTGTGCTCTTGTAGGAGGGGGACATTGTAACCTGGACCCTCCCCCTCCTCTCTCAAGTCTGAATCGTTCCTCCGGATGTGCCACCAACGAATCAGCTGCTTAGTCATCGCTGGAGTGTGGGAGAGACACAACAGAGAAGAGGCATCACTAATCCCACATGGGGATTTCACTTCCTTGAGCAGAGTTTACTCTGCTCCCTACCTCACACTGCATGAACTGTTGGAGAGAAGCCCCATCCACTTTCTGTCCCTCCCTTTCTGCAGCTTACTCTCCCAAATGCAATCACAAAGAGGAGGTGGCAGGGACCATATAGATTGGAAGCAGACATTATCCTAGTTCTGTTTTTCCTGCCTCTGGAGACTAGAGATCCTGAGGTATAAATGCCCCTGTGTCAATGCTGCCTTCACATTTGAAACACGCTCTGCAAGCCAGAGTGAGGCGGTTGTACAAAGCCTGTGTGGAGGGGAGAAGTGTGCGAGCCTTTTATCCCCTCCCAAACAAAATCATGCCGATTGATGCAGGCGAACCTCTAGCCTGTGGATATCTGATATCAGTCTGAAAAATCTAGATCTGATACCTGAGGGCTGCACTGAACTTTGGGCTTTGTTTTAATATCCAAGGGCCGATGTTCTTCCGAGGAAGGTCCTCTCCTGCTCTTAACACATTCTTTTTAGATGTGGTCACAACAGCAACACGCTGTCCGGTCAGCCTTAGAAAGACAACCCAGAGCTCCTATCAAGATATGGAGGCAAATTTCTCTTCTTAGCAGCTGGTGTGAGAATTTCCTAAGAGAGAAATGGCTTTGATAGCTGTGAGGAGAGTGAAAAACATAGCCTAGATTTAAGTGGAGAAGTAAAGTGGAAGGTAGGCGGGCACCAAGCATTGCAGTGAGCAGTGCTGGGAGACTGGCTGGGGAAGGAAGAGAGGCTTAGGGAAGCGGATAGTTGCACGAGACAGAGGGGCTGACAAGTGCTATGCGTTGGGAGATAGGACTTTCTCATGAATCCCTAGATCTCCGCTAAAACTGAAAACAAGTCTGGAGATATTTAGTGGTTGAATTTCTTGTGAAAGTTGATAAAGGGTCTGGAGCATTGTGGTTGGCCTGGAGTGGAAACAAAATCAACCTGCACAAATGAGGGAAAAAGGCAAGGTCTAGGCTGAAATACTCAACGCAAGGAGTGAGGAATTATGCACAGAGTCAGGTAGACCCACGCGGGACAAGTGCACAGCCAGGTGTAGGCTGTTTATCACTCAGAACTCGGTTCTGGGTGACTCTTTCTGTGCCTCATTCAGCCCTCCTCCCTGGCTTCTTGGAGGTCTCCTCCTAGTGCTAATATTTCTATTTCGAGACAGTAAGCTCAGTTCAGCAACCATTTCAAAGAGGTAGTGTAGGGTAGCAGTCAAGAGTGAATAATCTAGAGCCAGATAATCTGGATCTAAATCCTGACTTTGCCAGTTTTAGCAGTGAGTCCTTAGTTAAGTGTGTCTGTTTCCTCCATTATAAAATGGTCTAATAGGGTTATCTATTTCACAGGGATGTTGTAAGTACTAAACAAGCTAACATACATAAAGTACTTAAAATTATGCCTTAGTGCATGGTAAATTTTTAGTAAGTATACCTGTTTACTATTGATTAATATTGGGAGGAATATAGGAGTTTAGCCACAACACCAAAACTTTCATTTTTGGCTCACTAAATTTTTTTTATTTCAATCTGTAGTCATAGTTCTATTATTTAAAAAAATTTTTGTTATTGAAGTATAATTGACATACAAAAAAACTATACGTATTTAAAGATCTGTAGTCATAGTTCTATTATTTAAAAAAATTTTTGTTATTGAAGTATAATTGACATACAAAAAAACTATACGTATTTAAAGTATGCAATTTGATAGATTTTGAGAATATATATGTGTGTGTGTGTATATATATATATATATATACACATGTATATATGTATATATGAGATATATGCTATATATCCATAAAACCATCACCATAATCAAGAGAGCAAACATATACATTACCCCCAAAAGTTTCCTTGGGCCCTGTCTTAGTCTTTTAGGGCTGCTAGAACAAAATACTGTAAACTGGGTAGCTTATAAACAACAGAAATTTATTGCTCACCATTCTGGAGGCTGGAAAATCCAAGATCAAGGCACCAGCAGATTTGGAGTCTGGTGAGGGCCTACTCTCTGCTTCAAAGATGGTGCCTACTAGCTGTGTCCCATCATGGCAGAAGGGGAAAAACAGCTGCCTTTGGCCTATTTTACAAGGGCACTAATCCCAAGGGCAGAGCCCTCATGATCTAATCTCCTCCCAAAAGTCCTCACTTCCTAATACCATCACCTTGGAGGTTAGGATTTCAACACACAAATTTTGAGGGGACATAAATATTCAGATCATAGCAGGCCCTTTAGTACTCTTGTCCTTCCAGTCCTCCACATTCCCCTCTACTCCGTTACCAGCAAGCTACTGAATTGCTTTCTATCACTACAGATTAGTTTTCTAGAATTTTATATAAATAGAATCATACAGTATGTACTTTTTTGTCTGTCTTCTTTCACTCAGGATAATTATTTTAATATCCATCCATGTTCTGCATGAATAAATAGTTCATTCCTTTTTATTGCTGTGTAAGTAGTGTTCCATTGTATGGATATACCACAATTTGTCTGTTCACCTGTCGATATATATTTGGGTTGTTTCCAGGTTTACTACAAATAAAGCTGTTATGAGTTTTTGTGTACAAGTCTTCATGTGGACATAGGTTTTCATTTACCTTATAAATATCTAAGAGAGAAGTAGCTAGATCATTGAATATATATATTTTTAATTTTTTAAGAATGACAAACTGTTTTCCAAAGTAGCTGTGTTATTTCTACATTCTCACCAGCAGTTCTTCCACATCCTCATCAATAACTTGCTATAGTTAGACTTCTTAATTTTAGCTACTCTAATAGGTGTTTAGTGTTATCTCATTGGGATTTTAATTTGCATTTCTCTAATGTCTAAGGATATAGAGCATCTTATAATGTGCTTACTTGCCATCTGAATATCTTCACTGATGAAGAGGTGTATCTGTTCAAATATTTTGCACCATTTTAAAAACCGGGTAATTAGCTTTTATATTATTGACATTTGTGAATTCTTTATATATTCTAGATACAAGTCCTTTTTCAGACATATATTTTGTGAATATTTCATCTCAGTCTTGTGGCCTGTCCTTTCATTCTCTTAATGTTGTTTTTGATGAGCAGAAAATTTTAATTTCTATGAAGTCCAATTTCTCTCTTTTTTTTTTTTTTTCTTTTATGAGGGCTTTTGGTGTTGGTTAAAAGAAATTTTTGCCTAACTCAAGGTACCAAACATTTTCTTGCATGCTTCATCCAGAAATTTTATAGTTTTGGTTCTACATTTAGGTCCATGACCTATCTTGAGTTAATTTTTTATATGGTGTGAGATAGGGATCAAAGTTCTTTTTGTTTATTTTGTTTTCTGTAAAGATATCCAATTATTTCAGTAGTGTTTGTTTTTCTTTTTTAGTTTGTTAATATGGTTAATTATGTTAACTGATTTTCTAATATTAAGCCAGCACTACACTTCTGTGATACATGCAGCTTGGTCATGATGTATGATCCCTTTTACATATTATTGCATTCATGTTACTAAAACTTTGTTTAGAATTTTTGCATCTATATTCATGAGGGATATTCTTTTATAGTTTTTTCTTTTTAATAATGTCTTTTTCTGGTTTTGGTATTGGGGTAATGCTGGCCTCATAGGATGAGTTGGGAAGTATTCGCTTTTCTTCTAATTTTTCAAAGAGTTTGAGAAGAATTGCTATTAATTAATTCTTCTGTAAATATTTGATAAAAATCACCAATAAAGCCATATGGTCTTGGGCTTTTCTTTGTTGGGAGGTTTTTAATTACCCATTCAATCTCTTCACTTGGTATAGATCTATTCAGATTTTCTATTTCTTCTTAAGTCAGTTTTGGTAGTTTTTAAACCACTGGTTATTTAGGAGTGTGTTGTTTAATTTCCACCTATTTGTGAATTTTCCAAATTTTTTGTTATTGGTTTCTAATTTGATTTCATTGTAGTCAGAGAATATGTTTTGTATGATTTCAATCATTTAAAATTAATTGATCTATGTTCACTCTCCAAGCCAGACGTAAGTTAAGGTTGTCTCTGGCCTTTGTCAAGTTTTACTCCTGGTTGACTAGGGTTTCTTTTGAAGCTAAGTAGGCTTGTGCAGACATGCATGTAACCAATGATGGCTAGGCTCAGCTTTCCTATCTACATTTTTTCCTATTGCAAATCACAAATCATGTCCCTGGGTTAACATTTGGAATGCCCTTATTTCTCTGGTTGGTGCAGCTGAAGGGCATCCCAATCCCAGGCAGATTAGTGCAGTAGGCTGATATGAGTATAATGTTTATACTTAGTAGGTTATTTTGTAAAAGGTGTTTTAGAAAATTCAAATGAGTGCTAGGAAGGTGTGGTTGGATTTCTGATGATGGGGTTTTTCATTATAGGTTTCATTTCCCTATCTGTCATCCAGCCGAAATCCCTTTCACTTACCGTGTTGGAAACAGAAGAATAAGGCATTCCCTTCCCTTTGAATTCTCAATGAAATCCCCCCTCATAACAGGGTCATATTTCCTGACCTCTGCCTTAGAATGTCTCAGGGTGTTTTTTACTTACTCTCTGAAGACCTTAGATGCAGGGATTCATAAAACTGTGCACTCAAACATTCTCAAATAAGCATGATTCAGAGCCTACTTAGGAGTTATTTATTTGAAGAACTATCTAAGCCAGTGAAGTGGAGGTCCAAATTTGGATTCTGCAAAGAGAAGAGAAGTAGAATAGACAATAGAACACACTGGTACATGGAACAGTCTGCAGGTTCCTCTTTTGGCATGCTGCATGATTATGGTCAGATCAAAGAAACTCTAGAAGCTTTGTTTTTGCTACTTGGAAACAGGAAAATTATACTCAGCTTCCAGGTATCTTGTGATATTTGCCACAGATAGAAAGATCTCATTTTCCTTTCATTGCTTTCCTTTGGAAACCTCCACCAAGAGAAGGAGGATGCCTTAGT